TCTGACAATGATGTAGTCAATGAGATGCCAGTGTTTGGATCGTGGGTGTTGCCATGAACCCTCGAAATTTTCGGCCTGCCGAGACTAGGTATCGGTGATAGTGAGGTTGTGCTCAGTATACTTGCTGAGGAGGAGTAGGCTTGTGTTGGTCACACAATATATATATATATATATATATATATATATATATATATATATATATATATATATATATATATATATATATATATATATATATAAAATAGTTCTTGATTTGATAAGTGGCAGGGCTGAAGTAAACACTGTGTTGGTTTTCTTTTATTGTAGAAAAATATAGTCTCACTGGTACTGAGTTCAGTTGAGAGTATATTGTACCTTCTCTTCTATACAAAGGGAAGTATCTTAGTGCACTTATATGGGAGAGCACTTAAGTGAGGTGTTCACTGGGTAACAGGTGATATGATAGTCTCTCTCTCACGCACATCCTGTCAGGCGGGCGTCTTACAGGATACACGTCAGGTTGTTGTTGTTGAGAGGCGCTGACCCAGCTTGATCTCGCTCGCTGGTCACAGGAAATGTCAACTCACCCATTCATGCATACACATCGGTGAATAACTTGGTGAATATATGGGTAATATACATTTGGGTAAATATTTATATAATACAAATTGTGCTGTTACACCGCTCGGTCACCACCAACAGATGTCCTCACGGATTAAAACCTAGGTGTACCTAACCTTGTTACAAAAAGGTGTGCTTAGCTAAACTTTTTCGTCGTTTATATGCTTTTGCAATTCCTTCCGAAAAGTTTTCTTAGAAACTATTGTGTACCTAGAAGAAATCTTCCTGTAACAAATTATCATAACAATCAAGGAACTTATAAATATGATGGTAGGTATAATAAAACCAGGTAGGATTATACCGGAAGATAAGTATAAAGGAAGAGAATCGTGTAACTCAGGAAACTGTGTCTCATTAATATAAGATAGGAGGTTAAGCTTATCATAAACAATATAGAGATTTCTGAAACTTATATTTAAGGGAAATGGTATGGGAATCAGGTCAGAAGTAATATTTGTGACAAATGCAAGATGATGGCGAGTAGGCAAGGTTGTGATTACATTACTGCTAATTTCACAATAGTCTGGTGCTATATGATAACCTTCTACCATTAAATGTTTGCCTACATCCTGACATATAAGTATCACACTGGTTTGATTCGGGAAAAAGAAATATTGCACATTATTGACATGTGCGTGAAACACTAATCTATGTGGTATTGGAGTGTATACACTTTGTTGTAGAGCTGTAGAGGCATTAGTTTGTAACAGAGCTAATTCACATGCAGCCTCTACGACCCGAGTGAATGCGAAAGCATACGTCGGACAAATATGCAGATGCAAATATGTTGATTTACAATGACTTAGGACTTCATGCTTAGCCACAGTAACTAATGAAAAATCCTATGATACTACTATTAGTTCAGTTTGTTTGCTCAGAATTATTATTCCCTCATTCGCTTTTAGTGGAAATGGTTCCAAATGCCATGCATTAATAACAAAATTTTGATTTTAATGGAATGTGTATTAGTATTCCCCTGTGTGTTAATGTTGCTTCTAATAAGGGATAATAATATTCCACTTCATGCTCCTGAAAGATAGGAGTTAGATGATAATTAGTTTCACATATATGCAACGCAGCAATTAGTTGATGGACTGTGCAATGGCCCTATTTTGTTTCCTAACCGCGTCTGAAACTGCAATCATTTTATTTCCTAGTTTGGCTCGTATTTGATAGTTACAACGTCTTGTACTACTAATACTTTGGCCTAGTGGGGCAACTAAGGCTCCAGGTTTGACGACGTCTGCTGGGGAGGCGGCTGTTGTCACCGCTCTCCAGCCCAACAGTAGTAGTGATTAACGAGATGTTGTTGCTGATCGTAGTTTTTGACGATATTTATTGTCTATCGTTATATTTTGTTGAGCAACTGTTGTAGTTGAAGTAGGATGTACTTGACTGACATTAGGAGTCCCTACTAAGTCTCTGCTGACTTTTTTCATTCTATCTACATGTACGATATCTGTAACATTTGACGTTGGTTCAACTACTTGGAATTTGTTTCCATGTTCTTTCGCTCTAATCACGTACGGACCTGTGAATTTAGGCGAGAACTTTGATATGCGTTCCGGCGCTTTTATCATTTCATTGTCTCCTATTTCTAATTTTGAAGGCTTAGCTTTTTTGTGTTGCTTGCAGATCATTTCAGCACGTAAGGCTGCTAAGAGTTTTCGTACTTTTCCATGGATGCTCGTGAAAACATTGATTTGTTTCGTGGCATAGTCATCCATGTTGTACACAGGTTTTGGATTCCTCTTAGTAAATCATATGGTAAGCATTTATCTTTACCGTAAATTATGTAGTATGGCGATTTGCCTGTAAAGCTATTTATAGATCCATTGATGGATGCTGCAACCGGTGGAAGACAGTCCTCCCACGAACTATGCATTGGATTCACCACATGTCGGAGAATCTCAAGATATTTTTTTATTCGCACGTTCGACCAACCCATTTGAAGATGGATGGTAGCCGGTTGTGAAAGTTTGTTTAACGTCATATTGTTGACATATAGCAGCTAAGAGTTGATTCTTAAATTCTGTACCGTTATCCGAGAGTATCACCCTAGGTGTAGAGAAAGGACATATTAGATGAGTGACTAGTGCATGAGCCACTGATTCGGCGGACTTGTTCGGCATTGATGCGAGTACCACAAATCTGGAAAAATTGTCAACGCAGACAAGTACGTAACTAGAGCCTTGATGGCTTTTTGGTAGTTGCAATTAATCGATCGCAACTGTATCCCATGGACGTTCCGCCGTCGGGTATTCTAGGATTGGAGCGGGATCCAGCATTGTTCCCTTGTGTTTTGCATAAGATAAACATTTAGCAATGTGATGCTCGATGTCGATCCTCATAGATTTCCAATTATATGTTTGTATAATTTTTGTTAGACATCTATCTCGCTCTGGATGTCCATCTTGGGGTGCATAATGAAAGAGGGTAAGAACGTTTTCTTTTAATGATGTAGGAATAACAATTTGAGAGATTCTAAACAGATAATGCCTTTAAACAGACTACACAGAAAAAAAGGTCTGCATTATTTTATAGAAGAATGAAATGTGAATAATTGGGTAAAAAATTATTATCATAAAAATCTTGTTTCAATAAAAATCGTTTTGATTTTGATTTAAAAAAAATTACGATTTTTTTCAAAACCTGGTTTGGCGTATACGTTCAATATTTATTATTTTATGAATTTATCCGAAAAAATAATGATGTCAACAAAATACAGTAAGTGAACAATTACTTGTCCTTAATGTATGGTATACATATATACGGTACAAGAGCGCTTGTTTGTAATTTAGTTACAGCTGCGATTATTGGAATTATACATTATTTTCCAATTCGAAAATTACGAGGACCAACTATGACAGATCTAAACAAAATTTTCGAATGGTCTGAAAAATGGCAGATGAAATTCAATGTGGACAAATGTAAAGTACTCAGTATAAGAGATGTAAACAGGGAATCCAGTTACCAGATGAACAACGATGTTATTGGGAAATCCGACTACGAGAAGGATTTAGAAGTAATGATAAGTAGGAATCTTAGCCAAGTAAACAATGTGTGTTTGCTCGAAAGAAGGCTAATAAAGTACTTGGGTTCATACAAAGGAGTGTTAGTTACACGACTAGCGAGGTCATCCTTAAACTATATCTTGTGCTTGTGAGACCTCACTTGGATTACGCGGTTCAATTCTGGTCACCGTATTACAGAATGGATATAGAATCCTTGGAAAAAATTCAGAGGAGAATGACAAGACTAATCCCGGGCATTAGGAACCTTGAGTACAAAGACAGGTTAAAGCATCTTAATTTGCACTCCCTCGAGAGACGTAAAGTGAGGGGCGATTTGATATAGGTGTATAAATGGAAGTCAGGGCTGAACAAAGAGGACTTTACAAAGGTACTCAAACTATACAACCAGGAGCAAACTCGTAACAATGGTTTTAAATTAGACAAATTTAGATTTAGGCGCGAAATAGGTAAACATTGGCTTGGAAATAGAGTAGTGGACGAGTGGAACAAGTTACAAATATCATCATTAACTCGAATACGCTGGATAGCTTCAAACATAGGTTGGATGGATATATGTGAAATAGGGGTTGGGTGTAAATGGGACTGCCCAGTATGGGCCAATAGGCCCGCTGCAGTTTCCACCATTCTTATGTTCTTCTTATAGACCGGCACACGCCGGGCGTGTTGACCTCACTCATTCAATTGAAAGAAAGGCTCCATGTGTCATAACTATACACTATCTGGCCTACGACTGTAAACTGCGAGCATTAACTTGATTTTGTCTTCCTTCTCTCTAGTTTTGATAATATGTTTGATATTTCGTATATTTACTTGCATTTAAAGAAGCATCTGTATATTAGAATGATTAGTACACCATTTTAAGAGTTCGTAGTAAGGTTTTCATACTATAATAAGTACCAGTTGAATTTGCTGTAGTATAAGTTTGTATCCTCTATCGTTCACTCCCCTTTAATTTAATATGAAGGGTAAAACCTCTACACCTGTTGGTAGTCCTGTTGACCCGCCCCCCTCTTTCTCGCCGCTCAACACTGCACAAAATAGAGTTGTCTAGCCCTACTCTTCGGTTTTCACCCAAGAAAAAATTAACGATCACTTGCCCTGACACCAAAAGTGTTACAGGATAACACCTGTTTCCTAATCATAATTTTCTCGACCATTGAAATGATCCAGCCAGTCGCATCTTAATGTTTGTCTTTATTTCTACACCATTACATGTTCAAAGTCGAGGAAAGAATGGTTCTATCATCTTACCTAAAAATAGTACAGTATCGATGTGCTTTTGTCTGGTGAGGCGGGTACGTCTGCGCGTTGCAGTGGGCTGAGCACCTCCAGTTGGAGACGGGGACGAGTTGGTCCCTAGGCGTGGTGAGTAACACACGTCTCCTCTCGCTCTAGTCGACCCTAAGGAAAACGTATCCCGGTGAAGTGAGCCAGCGTAGCACCTTCTTAATAGTACTCAAGTGAATGTTACTGTGGGTGTTGTTGGTAAAATGCTTGCATACCCGATATACAACACAGATATATTGATCTGATAAGAGGCAGAGCACCAGTGAATTTGAGCGGAGAAGACGATGCGATGATGGTACGGTGAAGCCAGCATCTAGGATGCTGTTGCTGTCACCAAGACGCAAACATCACTTTGATAGTGGGTAACCTCGTGTCTGGCCCGGTCATTCGCCGACTATCACTACCCACTTCACCAATCCTGGAATAATGACTACACAAACATTGCCTGCCAATGACACTCTCACCTCCAGCTCTTCTCAAGGTAAGCATTACACATTAACGTATCCTTGGTCTCTAACATTAGCTCTTGAATGTTGATCTCTGACCCCGAGCCAGGGTGTTGACTTGTCGGCTCATTGCTTTCGTTATCCTTTTATCAATGTCAAGCCCCACAATTGACTTCAGTCTGTGTTTTGTGCAGGACGCTGATAGTCAGTGTTAAGCGATAATCTGTATGTTAGATCAAAGTAGTTGTCAACATATTCCCATTTTTCTGAAGGGTAAAATTTATCCTATAATGAAGTAGATAATTTTAATAACGTTCGGCGGAGTATAATTTACTCATCCAGGTCTCTATGCCCCTGTTCCTTCAGCGTCGTTCAGATCGTGACAGACCAGGCCAGAAGGGTCCGGTCTTCATAGAATCCTTAACCAGGATAAAGTATTCATTAAGACTTTTATTCTGGTTAACGCCAGACGATTTTAATGAACTAAGGGGAGCCCAGGCACTCTAAAGGTTAATGTGAATTCTTTCTCAGCAGTCGTTTGTCTGCTAAACTAAAGGTTCCCACAACGGGAATTACGTTTTGGGCCGCTTTGAAAAGCTGTCCTTAATTACTCCCTTATTTATGTGTACACAAAGATAACTTATACCTCACCACAAGGCTAACGTGAAAACGTCTCACTATGAATTTAAAATTAGACAAAAGGTATTAAAAGAATTGACAGAGAAGTTGGTCGTAAGTTCCTAAGTAAAGTTGCAGTTACAACAAAACCATTACCCCGACAGTTACACCCAGACTGTTACCCCGACAGTTACACCCAGACTGTTACCCCGACAGTTACACCCAGACTGTTACCCCGACAGTTGCACCCAGACTGTTACCCCGACAGTTACACCCAGACTGTTACCCCGACAGTTACACCTAGACTGTTACCCCGACTGTTACACTCAGACTGTTACCCCGACGGTTATACCCAGACCGTTATCCCGACGGTTACACCTAGACTGTTACCCCGACAGTGTTACACAGTTACACAGATTGTTGCTTACGCAGACGGTTACCCCAACAGTTACACCCAGACTGTTACCCCGACAGTTACACCTGACTGTTACCCGACAGTTACACCCAGACTGTTACCCCGACAGTTACACCCAGACTGTTACCCCGACAGTTATACCCAGACTGTTACCCCGATAGTTACGCCTAGACTGTTACCCCGACAGTTACACCCAGACTGTTACCTCGACAGTTATACCCAGAGCGTTACCCCGACAGTTGTACCCAGACTGTTACCCCGACAGTTACACCCAGACTGTTACCCCGACAGTTACACCCAGACTTTTACTCCGACAGTTACACCCACACTGTCACCCCGACAGTTACACCCAGACTGTTACCCCGACAGTTACAGCCAGACTGTTACCCCGACAGTTACAGCCAGACTGTTACCCCGACAGTTACACCCAGACTGTTACCCGGACAGTTACACTTTGAATTTTACCCCGAAAGGCAGATGAGGGAGATCCTTTCCGTAATTGTTGGCAGATGTTGTAGAGTACAGTAGTGTATGGACCTTCCTTCATGGTTAAAAACCTTAGGACTTAAAACATAAATATTTATGAACCCAGAGCTGCCATGTGGGTGAACACCAAGTATAGAACCTCTTCCAAAAGGCTTATATTACTTATATTACTTTTATCTCAATAAAAATAGTGTAATAGCTCACGCGGTCTTAATTTACTAACGTAAGACCGCGCACAGTATTATTGTTACCTGCAAGATGTAACACAATGAGGTAAAGTGACACTCAACAAACATTTGGACGTTCTGAACTACAGTACTACAGTACACTACGGTATACATTAACAACTACCGTATGTCGTAGAGGGACATTTTCATCAACAAGTTGTTTTTGTTAAGTGCAGTACAAGGGCGCTAATTGTTTGCTACAGTTGACAAGCGCTACCTACAATAAAAATGTTGACATTGTTTAAAAAGGTAGAAATTGCTAACTACAGTAAAATTCTGTAATTGGATATTATTATATATAATATACTGGTACAGGTAGACAGTATTATATACCGGTAGAGGTAGACGGTATTATATACCGGTAGAGTTAGACAGTATTATATACCGGTAGAGGTAGACAGTATTATATACCGGTAGAGGTAGACAGTATTGTATATTATATACCGGTAGAGGTAGACAGTATTATATACCGGTAGAGGTAGACAGTATTACATACCGGTAGAGGTAGACAGTATTATATACCGGTAGAGGTAGACAGTATTATATACCGGTAGAGGTAGACAGTATTATATACCGGTAGAGGTAGACAGTATTATATAAATGGTAGAGGTAGACAGTATTATATACCGGTAGAGGTAGACAGTATTATATACCGGTAGAGGTAGACAGTATTATATACTGGTAGAGGTAGACAGTATTATATACCGGTAGAGGTAGACAGTATTATATACCGGTAGAGGTAGACAGTAATATATACTGGTAGAGGTAGACAGTATTTTATACCGCTAGAGGTAGACAGTATTATATACCGGTAGAGGTAGACAGTATTATATACCGCTAGAGGCAGACATTATAATATACCGGTAGAGGTAGACAGTATTGTATATTATATACCGGTAGAGGTAGACAGTATTATATACCGGTAGAGGTAGACAGTATTGTATATTATATACCGGTAGAGGTAGACAGTATTATATACCGGTAGAGGTAGACAGTATTATATACCGTAGAGGTGACAGCATTATATACTGGTAGAGGTAGACAGTATTATATACCGGTAGAGGTAGACAGTATTATATACCGGTAGAGGTAGACAGTATTATATACCGGTAGAGACAGTATTATATACCGCTAGAGGCAGACATTATAATATACCGGTAGAGGTAGACAGTATTATATACCGGTAGAGGTAGACAGTATTATATACCGGTAGAGGTAGACAGTATTATATACCGCTAGAGGTAGACAGTATTATATACCGGTAGAGGTAGACAGTATTATATACCGGTAGAGGTAGACAGTATTATATACCGGTAGAGGTAGACATTATAATATACCGGTAGAGGTAGACAGTATTATATACCGGTAGAGGTAGACAGTATTATATACCGGTAGAGTGTAGACAGTATTATATACCGCTAGAGGTAGACAGTATTATATACCGGTAGAGGTAGATAGCATATATACCGGTAGAGTGTAGACAGTATTATATACCGGTAGAGGTAGACATTATAATATACCGGTGCAGTGGTATTGCATATATACCGGTAGAAGTGTTATTGTGCATAAAGTGGTACCGCTAGAGGTAGATACAGTATTATATACCGGTCGAGGTAGACAGTATTATATACCGGTAGAGGTAGACAGTATTATATACCGCTAGAGGCAGACATTATAATATACCGGTAGAGGTAGACAGTATTATATACCGGTAGAGGTAGACAGTATTATATACCGCTAGAGGCAGACATTATAATATACCGGTAGAGGTAGACAGTATTATATACCGGTAGAGGTAGACAGTATTATATACCGCTAGAGGCAGACATTATTATATACCGGTAGAGGTAGACAGTATTATATACCGCTAGAGGCAGACATTATTATATACCTGTAGAGGTAGACAGTATTATATACCGGTAGAGGTAGACAGTATTATATACCGGTAGAGGTAGACAGTATTATATACCGGTAGAGGTAGACAGTATTATATACCGCTAGAGGCAGACATTATTATATACCTGTAGAGGTAGACAGTATTATATACCTGTGGAGGTAGACAGTATTATATACCGCTAGAGGCAGACATTATAATATACCGGTAGAGGTAGACAGTATTATATACCAGTAGAGGTAGACAGTATTATATACCGCTAGAGGCAGACATTATTATATACCGGTAGAGGTAGACAGTATTATATACCGCTAGAGGCAGACATTATTATATACCTGTAGAGGTAGACAGTATTATATACCGGTAGAGGTAGACAGTATTATATACCGCTAGAGGTAGACAGTATTATATACCGGTAGAGGTAGACAGTATTATATACCGCTAGAGGCAGACATTATTATATACCTGTAGAGGTAGACAGTATTATATACCTGTGGAGGTAGACAGTATTATATACCGCTAGAGGCAGACATTATAATATACCGGCAGAGGTAGACAGTATTATATACCGCTAGAGGTAGACAGTATTATATACCGGTAGAGGTAGACAGTATTATATACCGCTAGAGGCAGACATTATAATATACCGGTAGAGGTAGACAGTATTATATACCGGTAGAGGTAGACAGTATTATATACCGGTAGAGGTAGACAGTATTATATACCGGTAGAGGTAGACAGTATTTTATACCGCTAGAGGTAGACAGTATTATATACTGGTAGAGGTAGACAGTATTATATACCGGTAGAGGTAGACAGTATTATATACCGCTAGAGGCAGACATTATAATATACCGGTAGAGGTAGACAGTATTATATACCGGTAGAGGTAGACAGTATTATATACCGGTAGAGGTAGACAGTATTATATACCGGTAGAGGTAGACAGTATTATATACCGCTAGAGGCAGACATTATAATATATCGGTAGAGGTAAACAGTATTATATACCGGTACAGGTTGACAGTATTATATATAATACTAGCAGAAACGCAGCCCTCCGGGCGGCTCATTCGCTAGACCACTGTAGGACGCCACCCTCCGGGAGGCTCCACATTGTCTCACTGTTCAGTCCCCAAAACTTCTTCTTCCATCAATAGTTCATTAACGGTGTAAGTAAGTTCCACCATGTTTTTCACTACAACGGTACAGCAAAGTATATTTTTGTAGCATTAAACTGTTATTATTTGTTGTCTAATCATCACTACATATAACACCATCCATCATCACTACATATAACACCATCCATCATCACTACATATAACACCATCCATCATCACTACATATAACATCATCCATCATCACTACATATAACATCATCCATCATCACTACAT